TCTCTCTCTCTCTCTCTCTCTCTCTCTCTCTCTCTCTCTCTCTCTTCTCTCCCCCCCCGCTTGATGGATCATTGGCCGAGTTACCAACAGTTGATATGGATGGGAGGACTGACAGTTGGCTACAATCCACAGCTTGGATAATCCTATTTTGGACATCTTCTTCCCTCCCTTTCCCGGCACGATAAGAGTTTCATCATCTGAAAGATGGGAAAGAGACATTGCAACAATTCTATGTGTCGGTTGCATCTGAAATCATGGAGATATCCGTCACGTGATTGCACAATATAAGTTGTTTTGTTTCATCGTATTTTGGATATTTTTGCAGCTTGCTTGAGTTTTTTGTTTCTTCATATATTTACAGAAACACTGCAGTATCTGTTTGTGCTCTCCCACAGGCCCTAACGTAGGCCTGTTTGGCCTCACAGAAGGGTCTCTTTAAGGGACACAAGGGAGTTACCTGAAACTTTTATATTTAATTAAGAGAAACAAACGAGGAGAGAGAAGCGAAGCCATCGCGATCTTCCTTCATAGTGTTGTGGTGGCATGGCAGCAGAGCACGGCGAGCTGCTGGCTGAGATGGCCACGGTCGGGCGTTTGGGTGCCACCGAACGCCTGAAGCACGCCCAGAAGCGGCGCACTCAGCAGCTGAAGGGATGGGCGCAGATGGAGAAGGATTCAACGCGAGGGTCAAGGGCCAAAGCGGACAAGAAGAAGGCGCGCACCACCAAAGTTACTTTCCCCAAGTCCATCACACTGCTAGATGCAACTGCACGCAATGACCTGGAGGAGGGTAGGTAGAACCACACACACCCACTCACCGATACAAGCCATTTAGAAGTGATGCCAGACGATTATATACTCGACCATACTGCCCAGACCAATCAAAATCCTGTAAACTACTATGACCTCTGTATTTGGCTCATTTGTGTTGTGTTGCTGTTGGCCTTTCCTGATATGAAGCCAATGGCATGGTGCTCCATAAACAACATGGCATGCACGCCGTGTCATTTCTTGTATCTATTTAGGGCAGAGAGATGTGTGCAAAGTGTTCTAATGTTGATAGCACTCTGCCCAGGTGGTTAGTTATAATGGTCTGTCTTTTTTTTCTTCTCCTTCTAGTGAGGGAGCTTCTTAACAGTGGTGTCAGCCCAGATCTGGTCAACGAGGATGGACTGACAGCCCTACATCAGGTACAGACACACACACACACACACAGACACCTAGGACAAGATCCCTCACTGGCCTCCCACCCGCATTCACTGCCAATTGTGGTCACTAGAACGCACGACTAAGCCAGTGGTATGTTGACAAGGGGATAAATATGTTACTTGTGTGCCCCACCTAATTATTCCTTTATAGTCGTCTAGCACCTCACTGTTTACTGTAAACACACCTGTGCCAGCATTTAGGGATTTAAGTGCCTGCCTGTTAAGCATACGCAGGTACCCACTCCCACAGCAGCTCACACACACACTCACAGCCTTGCAATAGATGGGATGAGGTTACCTACACAGTTTTACACCAACACTATGTGACCTTAGCGAGGCAGGTCACCTTTTGAGCAGCGTGTGTGTGTTGATGTTGTGTGCGGTCACAGCTCTGTGCTCACTAAGTACTGTTTGCCTTTATTTTGTCTGAACCGTAACTTATCTTAAGTCGGTTTACATGAACACACTGATTCGTTCCCACTATTTTAGTTCCACGGGTCGGCGTTTTGATAAGTGAGGGCCAGCGTGCTTCAGGCTTACATTCCTTTCCTGAACATTAACAGTCTGATTTAGGAGAAACCATCGTAACAACATTCCTGTGTTTTGTTTCCCGGGACCTTGAAACACACAAATCTAAAGCGAGCGACACAGACATCTTTACAATTCCGATGGGCACTTTCTCTCCCTTCTGGTTTTGCTCTATGTGTCGTTTATGTCTCTTTATGAATTAACTACTATGAATTCATGAGAGGGGTATTTGTGAGCACAGAGAGCTCTTTTTAAAAGCAGTTGAGCCTGCTCTTCCTGTTGGAAAACTTGGTGTTTACACAGCAGAGGGCTGGGCCATGTATGCAAATTCTTATATTACTCAAACCAGTGTATTAGCTGCCATAAATAAATATGCATGGATTAATCCATTTCTCTTAATGCTTGTTTGCCTATAGTACAAGTTTTCTGTCATTGTCTGTGCCTGTTTTGTGCGGTCTGTGCTTCCCTTTACATTCATACGTGTATACATTTTCATACATTTCTACATCTTCTCCCTCTTCTCAGTGCTGCATAGATGATTTTGTGGAGATGGTGCAGTGCCTGCTGGACGCTGGTGGCTGTGTGAATGCCTGCGACAGTGAGCTGTGGACACCGCTGCACGCTGCTGCCACCTGTGGACACACTGGATTGGTGCAGCTCCTGATTCAGGCGTGAGTTTTCCCATGAATTCACACGTCCTTCATACCTGAGAACGTTTTCCTGCTTTCATGACATAAAGACAAAATCCTAGAAATCAATGTGCTGATGTATTTGAGTTATATGAGTTATAAATGTTGCTTTATAAAATGTAAATTCTGCTTGAATGCAGAATGGATATTTTTTTTTTCTGGACCAAACCCAACTGAGGGCCTTCTTAGCGAGAGACTACTTTACATAAACAATGCAAATATGGCTGCAGCCTGACTCACAAAACACTTTGCAAGTTTATGAATATTCCTGAGTGGCTGAGTACATCAAGGTGTGTCACAGTTTGGCACTCTGAATTGTTTTTGTGTGTGTGTGTGTGTGTGTGTGTGTGTGTGTGTGTGTGTGTGTGT